TCTGGTTTTCTTCACACGGAGAAAATAAATGTCTTGTGGAACATGCCGAATGCATCTTAATGATCATGAACCAATCATAAAGCTGTACAGCCACCTGTACCTGCCTAAGGAGAATGAATGAATGAAAACGTAACCAGATGTAACCACGCACTATATGCATGTATGTGGGATAGCAATATGCAGTCGACGCATATCTTTCTCATGAGAAGAGCTGAATGTTGTTGTGTAGTGATCCACGATTGCCTCGGTTATTCATTGTCGCGTTTGTATACTATCCATTATGTTTTCCCTCGGTCAACTGTCCGTCGATAAAGGAATGATGATCTGGATTAATCTTTGGCCGGTCAGCCGGTTCGGTTATTGTGTCAATTTTCGCTGCTGTGCTTGCATTCATTCACCTCTGACAGTGGGTCGTCGTCGTCGACATGTGTGTGTGTTACGGTAAGCAGGACCGATCACAAATTTTCCGACGTTCCAAACACAGCAACCGCTAATTAGCTTTGACTGTGCGGATCCAGTGCAACGTGACATTGCATTCGAATGAAGAGAAAAAGTTATGGTTTGTGTTGTGTTGTGTTGTGTTGTGTTGTGTGTGTGTGTGTGTGGGATACACCAGCTGGAAGCGGGGGGAGGGTGAGTGGGTGGATGGGGCGGGAGACTAAACTCAAGCATTGTTGGTAAAACGGGACTATATTTCAAAAAAGTGGGACCGCTACATAAGAGAGAGAGAGAGACAGCAAGACGAGCGAGGCGAGTATTGCATGTGGACCGGGTGGATGAGATTCACACAGAAATCATAGACAGAGTGGATAGAGCATTTCCAATCTATACAAGTACACGATTTAACGTCACACTGGGTACAATTTTGTATATACGAAATGCAAACATAAGTGTTGATCTGACGATAATGGACAGTTCTTGCAACTTGTGTTCGTCTGAGCTCAGATGAGAGCAACATACATCTTTTTCCACTGGAACGCCGTTTTAAACTTAGAAATGCATTTGCATTTTTCTACACATATATATATATACCTCCTGGTAGAATTTTTTGATTCAACCAGTTTCGCTGTCTACCTTGTTGAGAGAAAGAGCCTAATGCGTGCACGTTACAGCACTCGTGCCACCATGTTCCCATTTTCCGATCACAATGTTCACCAGTGAGTATCGCTCGTTCAGCGAGTGGCTATCTGCTGAATTGGTTGCTCCATGATTGATCATCGTATGCTTTGTTGACACTCCGCGAATGCGGTGAAGACTTCACTGAGCAAGTTGTCAAGGTGATCATCAAACTGGCCCGCAGGTTGTGTTCTGCTCGCTTCAATACAGTCAGCCAGTCAGTCATCTTTGTGTGTATGTGTAAGTCACAACTCTCTTGTTGAAAGTTGATTATATCAATGTATATTAAATAAACGAAGTAAAAAGAAAAGATTACTTTTTTATTAGCATTCATAAACATCGACAAACACCTCCCCACAGTTTTACTCTTCACCGCCATCCGTCTGAACCGTACCTCTGCTACACCCGGTGAAAATCAAATGGAATTCATCGCAACTCTACATATTTCCTCGATTGGAGGACGTACTGTTTTATTAATAGACATGGTCAATACTTTCCCTATTCTTGGGAATGGTCTGTGAAAAGTCGTGTTATTATTCCATCTGTATTAGTGCATAATCTTTGCAATGCACATTCATTATTCCTGTCTGTTGCTCGTTGTTTTGTCAGACTACGGGATACAATGAAACATTATCCCTCTTATCATTAGGTCATTAATCATTCACGCACCCGTTTCATCTACCCCCACTGGATTTAGGCTGCATCGCAATCGATCGATCCATTCAATCCATTGGTGCGATTACCACGTCTGTCTACCCTGCCCGGGTCAGCTTTGTTGCCACATCCCTATCACACCTATCCCCATGCTCGTCTACCACGACATCCTTTGTTCCCTCGACCTGTGCCTGGCTCTTTGCCTGCAGCCGCTGCAGCTCGACGGTTTTGGGCCGCGGCCGCTGCGGCTGCAACAGCTGCCATGGCAGCTGCCAGTCTGCAGCAGCAGCAGCAGCAGCAGCAGCAACAACAACAACAACAACAGCAGCAGCAACATCACCACCACCAACAACAGCAACAACACGGAATACATTCAATTGCGAATAACCAAACTGGTCGACCGGTGCATTCCATGCGTGGCTCTAACAGCGCTTCCGGCCCGGTGCGATCTACTGCACCTCCTCCTCCGCCTCCGCCGCCGCCGCCGCCGCCTCCACCACCTCCACCTCCACCGCCAGCTCCAGTGTTGCCAACACTGTTTCCAGCACCTGGTCATATGTTTCCTCCACTCATACCCAACGCTCAATCGCCCTTCCTCTACCCACGCTACCGGTAAGTTGTTTTTTTTTCGGTGGTGGTGGTGGGAGGTAGCTTTATTTTACCGTATCATTTTAGCTCGTCTTGCCCGGTATTTTGAGCATTCCAGCCAATAATCAGTTTTGTTTAGCCTCCTATGAATAGCCGTTGATTACAATCATCCGAAATCTGCCGCTAGCTAAGGTTTATCTGATCAGCATTTTCACCCCAAATCCTCATCATCAGCTCCAGCCCGACTGCACGTAAATTAAAGGACGGCAGAAGAGAGACAGATGCAAATTCCCTTGACGAGATTGAATGGATCAAATGACCGGCACCTACTTTTCTCTGGGACACAATTAAAACATTGTGCAGTTGTTTATCGCCATCATCTTCACCAGAAGCACCAGCACCAGCAGTATTATCTTTTTGTTTTTTTGTCGTCGAGCCATGATGAACCAGGGTGTGGCGATATTGTATTACTGAGTTTCGGTTTCTGTTTAAACAACCATTAACTATCACGCACTTTCGTGCACCGGTTTTCGTTGCTGTCATTTGGCTGCCCATTTGGTTGAATCAGTAGGGGAACGACAGGAAGGTTGAGAGTAGAATCAAATAGAAAATGGAGAATTTCAGTGGACTAATGTTGCAAACAAATTGAGAAGATGCACGAACGCCACTGTTCACAACACACCCATATCGATGAGTGTCTCTAACCATCAGTTACGATCATCCTGAGGTCCCCATCCAGGGAGCCTAACGAGACATATGTGACCCAGTCCCCTGGTTAGGCTTTTCATAACCGCGTGCGAGGTCTTAGGTTGACTGCCCTTGGGTTTTTTCCACCCACTACCTGCCTCGGCGAATATCGCTCGCCGTTGCAACCTATCTGGTGACACACGTAACACATGCCCCAAACAACGTAGTCTATGGACTTTGACTACCTGCTCCAGTGGGCGACCGCGGTTGCCTAAAACGCTGCACCTAACCTCCGGTTGCTCCACCAGACTCGTGCGATGCGGCTTAGATAGCGGTGTCGGTGTTCAAACACCAGCAGTCTACCTTTATCCTGTTTCCTCAATGGCCATAGCAGAACTGGCCGAACTGCCGCTGCATACACTCGACCCTTCACAGACAGCCGGATGTCGCGACGGCGCCACAAATGTCTCAAGTTAGCAAATGCCAACCGAGCCTTCTGTATGCGAGCTGACACTTCATCTGTGATGCAACTACCGGGTTTGATGTAGCTGCTTAAATAACAAAACTTTTCAAGTTATTCTATTAGTTTCCCAGTTAGAGTGAGTCTGGGTGCTGAACCAACCTACTTTTGTAGTAACGTTTTACACTTTGAAGGTGAAAAACACATACCAAACATGGCTAAACTAGCAATCAAACTATCCAGAAAAGCTTACACATAACCTGGATCTTCGCTTAGGAGCACAGTGTCGTCTGCATACTCCAGATCAGATAGTCTGCCATCTGGGAGCAAATCGATGCCACTATCCTCGCATGAGGATAGGGCTGTTTCCATAATCAAATCTATAACAAAGTTAAAAGAGAGAGAGAGATGAACTTTGAAGAATGCTACTTTCCTTTGTGAACTCGAACGAAAAGGAGCTCGTAGACAATCGACGGACTGTGGTGCCATCCAGAAGCTTAGAAGCAGTGTTGATTAAACTAATTCCTCTGTGGGTTTCGCAAGAGTATCTGTCATTTTTTTGTAAATCAGTATGATGACCGATTCACACTATTCAATTGGAACCTGTTTCCCCTCCCATACTGAATCTGTTCTAGTTGACAATATATGTGATGCGCATATATTGGTGCGTGCCTAAAGTTTGCTGACAATATTCTATCTGATTGCATTCATCCTCTACTATCACTTTTTGCACGCCTGATGCCCCACTTTTCACCTTTGTTGTCAGCATTGTGATGATGGTTTCCTTTTGGTTGAAAGCTAGTGTTATAATTCGCAAAGGCTGCAATACTATACAATACACATCTCACCTGGCGAACGAATCTATGTTTGAGCGTTGGTACATGTTCGGAAGACACGCTTGATTTTTATAGTCATGAGGTATTCATTAGTCTCTGCGTGATATCTGATTGTTTGAGAAGAATTGAGCCCCCTTAATCCATTTCGTCAATACAGAAAGAAGACGAATTTCGCGAGATATGTTAACATTTCATGTAATCTTCTCAATCGCTGATTTAAAACAAACAGGCGGATGAACAGCACATGGGATTAATCAATTACGGCGGACGAGGGTGAAAAAGCATACAGAGATTAAGTTTTAAGTCAGCGATTCAGAAGATGAAACGAAATGTTAACACATCCGGCGACATTTGTCCTCTTTATGTATTGATGAAGTGTTTGACAAGGGTTAGTTTTATTCCATAAAAGTTCGGTTGCTGATACTTTATGTCGCACGAAAAGTGACCGTTATGCGATCAGGACCTTCCTTTTTGCTTACTTTTATTTAAGGAGAAGGATAGTTCGGCTTTTCGGATATTTCGGATTGTAGCAAATCGTGATTTACGATCTGCGGCAAGGTCGGTTCATTTTGTAGTCACATCGTTAGTCTAGTCACGCACTCCAAAAACCTAGGCCAACTGCATTCCTTTTGACTGTACCGTCTTTAGCATCCTCTCCCTCATTCCCCACGCAAACCCCGGGGGTTGTGAAATTTCCGATTCAAGAAAGGTGTTGGCGACGAAATTCTTGAGTGGTTCTTCTTCTGTTTAGTGAGGGATGTGATTGAATCACAAAAGACAAATTTGTTGGAGAAATAAAAGAAAAAAACACAGTTCCCCCGTATATTCTTATAAAGTTGACGGACGGTGGAGTTTGAGACGCAGTTACACCATTTTTTTAGTCACCTCTCGAAGGTACGAGTGCTCGAAACTTTCCAGCTTGGGGTTGTTTCGTCCACTCAGTGACCACATTTTGCAGAAATGGTTTGTCAGAAATGGTCTAACGGTGGTCTAATAAATGCTCGGTTTTCTGTGTGTAGAGCAGCATTTAGTTGCTCACTCACATTCGACATGAAGCTTGACTTTGTTTCTGATTGTACATCCTAGGTTGTTGAATTGGTGTGCCCGTTAGAATGTTTCACCACGAACGTGAATGGGTCGTGTTGGGTCTGGGAACGTTATGCACAGCTTGGTTTGCGGGATGTTTGTTTCCAGATCAATGGCTTTGGCTTCACATTCTATACGGTCAAGTGTACTGTCAGAATCGTCTTCTAAAATGGCAACGTCTTCCGAGGTAATCTATAAAGGTTCCCAGGCGAATTTGAATTCCTCAACAATCGGTTGGAGCAAGACGCAGTATCCAGTATATGAAGTAGCTGAATAGGGTTAATGCCAGACGACAAATCCCGATGGACTCTAGAAACAAGTGGAATTTCTGTGAACCCGTTCCCGGGAGCGCTCTCGCGTTGCACAGTAATATCAGATCATTAGCCTCATGTATTTTTCTCGTGATCACGTGTGTAAATAATATGCTCCTTTTGACAGAGTCAAGTCCAACGCGAGAATCAGTGAAACAAGCTGATGCTTGTTGTTAGAATTAAAAGCGATGTTCTAGGATTTGTTGCAGTTAAACGATTTGATCGATGTTACCGTTCCCTTGAAGCGAATCACACTAGTTCTAA